TCCGAAAGAATTCCAGTCGGCAAATTTAAATTTTCGCCAGTGCTGTGGCGCTGCAATCTTTGGCTATTTCTCGGGCTACTCAAATATTTTACGTTTTTGATACTAAATTAACATATGAAGTATAATTTTTTATTGTTTTTATATTTTTCAATAAATTTATTTTGCTTGTACAAAATAAAAAAATAATTTTTAATGATACAATAGTCTTCGTTAGGCTTAACATCGACGACAATTCAACGCGAAGCGACACGCAACGGAGAGAAATTTCAACATGGGATAAATTAATATATTTTTTCGTACGATTCGTTATCCGAAAAATAAGTTATCCGAACCACCCCAGTCCCCAATTGATTCGGATAAACGACGCTCTACTGTAACATACAAAGAACATATGCATTGGGAGGATTTTGATTTAAAAATTATCATATTTATGGAAAATGTACACTTCAATTATCAGTATAGCCTCCTTTGGCCTTTAAAACCTTCCTAATACGATCAGGCATAGAATTAATAATATTCCTGCCATCGTGCAATGTTATTTTGTTCCACTCATTCTGACACGTTCCTATAATTAGTGGATGTTTTCAGAAGGAGCTGCATAGTCAGACAAGCGACGTTTAAGAAGGGACCAGATGTGTTCAATCGGATTGAGATCAGGCAATTTAAACGGCCACTCAAGCAGACTAGTATTTTGATCTTGAAGCTATGACATTGCCCTCCTGAATGTACAGTATGTTTTGGATCATTACTTTGCTGATAAATGAAAGAGCTATCAATGTGGTAATAACCAACAGATTGTAAAAAATCATTCTCTCAGTGTAAATAACGCTATTCATTCTATTAGGTACAGAACGTAGCATTCCAGGCCCAAAATAGGTAATAGCCCCTGACCATAAGACTGCCACCACCAAATTTCAATGTTGTCCGTATTTCTCGCTCAGTTATGGTCATCGATGTAGTCCATACTCATTTTCGCCCATCTGAACAAACTCTTAATTTTGGATTCATCTGACCATACAATCCTCTTCCAATCTTCTAAGGCCAGTCTTTATAGCGTTTGGCAAAATTAAGACCTTTCTGTTTATGTAATTTGGTAAATTTAGGCTTCTTGGGCTTTCAAACTGTTACGTTTTAGGCATCTGCGGATAGTTGAAGTACTCACTTCTATTCCTAAGCTATGTTTCAATTCCCTCTCCACTCGTTATCAAACGTTTTGTTTTGGCGCTCAACGTTTTCTTCCTGCCAGCTCTTAAATTTTCGTGATATGGTAGCTCATTATTTTTTATTCTGGATACACTCCAAAGCCCAACATTAACTTCTAATGCTATTTTCTCAACAGAAAAACTTTTCTTTAGCTGGTCCAAAATACATAGTTTCTCCTTACTGGAAAGCTTCTTTACGATGACTCATATCATGCAGCAGCTCAGTTACATATTTATACGCTAATACCTCGTTAATATGCACGAAATTATATTGTTTAACGTTGATGTTATAACAAATTAATTTATGCGTCAAAATCCTCCCAATGCATCAAGCAGAATTTATACACCATAGATACAGTAAGATCTCGCTTAACGCTGATTCGATATAACGCGGTCTGCTCGAAACCTAAAAAAAAAAAAAAGCTCAAAATTCACGCCGATTTAAATTATCACGGCATTTCATTGATTCATATATAATACGATTATTTACGAACAGGAACCAATCAGAAAAAGGTGGTAAAATATGTACTTTCTTTAAATCTATGTTTGGAAAAACTATAACATCACGGATGCCATAGGAAACATCGGCTTCGCTTGGCAAGAATTAACTGATAAATGCACGAACGAAGTGTGGAAGAAGTTATGGCTGAAGGTATCCAAGAATTCTCAACGAGAAGAGCCTATCGTTAGGTTGACCAAACTAAACCTAATCGATATAGCAGTTAGCGGCCGGATGGCCGAGCTGTCATGGTGGCAGCCTACCGCTCTGGGGGACCCGTTCGGATTCGAACCCGGGTCACCCAGTGCGGTAGGCTGCCATCTTGACCACTCGGCCATCCGGATAACCCGTTCTGTCAGAGATTAAGA